CAAATTTGTTTTTCTTCAGAAAGTGGTTGAGTTAATTTCGCATGTTACTCTAATAAAGAGTTAATTGTTGTTTGTATTTTTGTAGTATTAGGATTTTTAGTTGTAAAAACTAGGCACATCTAATTTTTGGTCTTTGTAAATTCTATATATAGTACGTAAATGCAAAGTGATATTGGTAATGGAAGTGCTAGGTTGGAATATAGTCATACATTTCTCAATATTACCATTACTATCATCTATTTTTACTTTGCAATACTTTTGCTTTGTAGTTTTATCACAACTGGTATATCTCCATACCCAGCTTTCTTTTGATGATTTTCTATAAATAGATGATCCACTTTTTCTTTTAGCTAGTATTTGGAAAGAGCGAGATACAGTAGAACATGAAGTTATATCTGCTGATAGTTTATATTGTTTACCAATATCATTATCATTGGATTCTTCTGGGCTAGAATTTTCACTTACAGTAAAACTCTCATAAAATGAGTAACTATCTAGAGTAGTTTGTATTTTTTATAATAATTGCATTGGTTCTACTGTCTAAAAGCTTTTATGATCAGAAAGCTCTATGAGATCTGATGAGTTTGACATTTTGATAAGAGAAAGATCAATTTAGTTTTCTTATATAAAAGAAATATTTAATGATTATACTTAAAGGTAAATATAGAGAGATTTATATTCGCAATATTTATATATTTATTAGATTTTAAATTGTTATAAAAGAGTAAATGAGGTATAAAATTAATACAAGATCAAGTTTTACAATATTGTTTATTTTTATTAAACATGTTGTAGTTGTACTTATTCGAATTATATACTTGAAACATTATATATATAATTATAAAAAAAGCTTTCTATTGATTTAAAACAAGTATCCAAATATATAATAAAAAGCTGACATGTCTAGATCATGAGCATTATTTGGTTTTACACTAATAAAAATATTTTATTTATTTAATTCTAATTGCATAATCTGTTAAACTAAGTTGGGCATAAAGTAATCAGCCTTTTTTACTACTAATAATGGCTGGCCAACAAAATGTCAAATATAGATATGCAATTTTACCTTTTATTCACTGCAATTTACATAGCAATAATA